TGAGATATGAGCGTTGACCTCTTTGATGAATAGTGTTTTTGCGAACGGTTTTGAGGATTTTTGGGACGATGGAGCGGGGATATCCCAAATATTACCCAACCCAAGGATGGATGAGGTAATATGGAGGATATACGAGCTCCTGGAGGTGGTGTGCGGTGGTTTGCGGTGGTGGGTTGGTGGTTCCGGCGTGAAAGAGCCAAGAATGACCGTAACGGTCACTTGGGAGAGAAGAGCTCTCAACTATCACTAGAACGGATTGAGAATTTTTGTTTAGGCACCGGTTTCAAAATATCAAGGGATGATTGCCTAATTACTAAAATACACAGTATTTACGCTAAAAGTGCTCTATTTTTGCTGAAAACGTTAAATCGTTGAGATAAGGCTAAGTATTTGTGACACTCATATCTTGCTGTGTGTTTATCCGTTTGGAGCGTATTATATCTCGTTGGAAAGATGGATCGGAGATCTAAATCTATTGTTCCAACTTCATTTACAATGCATTAATTAAAAGTTACAGATTAACCATATATTCCCAAATGTTTCTGATTTCACTCCGAACTCGTGTAGAATGTGATGCGATCATATCATGCTCTTTTTTGTGTCGTTGAAAGCGTTTAATATTTCGTTGGAAAGATCTTACCGAGTTCTAAAACTTGTATTCAGGCTCTGGTTTGAGAATATCAAGGGATGATTGCCTAATTACTAAAATACACTGTATTTACGCTAAAAGTGCTCTATTTTCGCTGAAAACGCTAAATCATAGATATAAGGCTAAGTATTTGTGACACTCATATCTTGCGGTGTGTTTATCCGTTTGGAGCGTATTATATCTCGTTCGAAAGATAGATCGGAGATCTAAAACTATTGTTCCAACTTCATTTACAATGCATCAGTTAAAAGTTACACATTAACCATATATTCACAAATGTTTCTGATTTCACTCCGAACTCGTGTAGAATTTGATGCGATCATATCTTGCTCTTTGTTGTGCCGTTGAAAGCGTTTAATATCTCTTTTGAAAGATATTACCGAGTTCTAAAACTTGTCTTCAGGCGCTGGTTTCAAAAAATCAAGGGATTATTTCCTAATTACTAAAATACACTGTATTTACGCTAAAGGTGCTCTATTTTAGCTGAAAACGCTAAATCATAGAGATAAGGCTAAGTATTTGTGACACTCATATCCTGCTGTGTGTTAATCTGTTTGGGTCTTATTATATCTCGTTGGAAAGATAGATCGGAGCTCTAAAGCTATTGTTCCAACTTCATTTACAATGCATTAATTAAAAGTTAAAGATTAACCATATATAAACAAATGTTTCTGATTTCACTCTGAACTCGTCTAGAATATGATGCGATCATATCTTGCTTTATTTTGTGCCATTGAAAGCGTTTAATATCTCGTTGGAAAGATCTTACCAAGTTCTACAACTTGTCTTCAGGCGCTGGTTTCAAAATAGCAAGGGCTGGATGCCTAATTACTAAACTACACTGTATTTACGCTAAAAGTGCTCTATTTGTGACACTCATATCTGGCTGTGTGTTTATCCGTTTGGAGCGTATTATATATCGTTGAAAAGATAGATCGGAGATCTAAAGCTATTGTTCCAATTTCATTTACAATGCATTAATTAAAAGTTACAGATTAACCATATATTCCCAAATGTTTCTGATTTCACTCCGAACTCGTGTAGAATGTGATGCGATCATATCATTCTCTATTTTGTCCCTTTGAAAGCGTTTAATATCTAGTTGGAAAGATCTTACCGAGTTCTAAAACTTCCCTTCAGGCGCTGGTTTCAAAATATCAAGGGATGATTGCCTAATTACTAACATACACTGTATTTACGCTAAAAGTGCTCTATTTTCGCTGAAAACGCTAAATCATTGAGATAAGGCTATGTATTTGTGACACTCATATCTTGCTGTGTGTTTATCCGTTTGGAGCGTATTATATCTAGTTGGAAAGATAGATCGTAGATATAAAGATATTGTTCCAACTTCATTTACAATGCATTAATTAAAAGTTAAATATTAACCATATATTCACAAATGTTTCTGATTTCACTCCGAACTCGTGTAGAATGTTATGCGATCATATCATGCTCTATTTTGTGCCGTTGAAAGCGTTTAATATCTCGTTGGAAAGATCTTACCGAGTTCTAAAACTTGTCTTCAGGCTCCGGTTTCAGAATATCAAGCGATGATTGCCTAATTACTAAACTACACTGTATTTACGCTAAAAGTGCTCTATTTTCGCTGAAAACGCTAAATCATAGAGATAAGGCTAAGTATTTGTGACACTCATATCTTGCTGTGTGTTTATCCGTTTGGAGCGTATTATATCTCTTTGGAAAGATAGATCGGAGATTTAAAACTATTGTTCCATCTTCATTTACAATTCATTAGTTAAAGGTTACATATTAACCATATATTCACAAATGTTTCTGATTTCACTCCGAACTCGTGTATTATTTGATGCGATCATATCTTGCTTTATTTTGTGTCATTGAAAGCGTTTAATATCTCGTTGGAAAGATCTTACCAAGTTCTAAAACTTTTCTTCAGGCGTTATTTCAAAATAGCAAGGGATGATTTCCTAATTATTAAACTACACTGTATTTACGCTAAAAGTGCTCTATTTTCGCTGAAAACGCAAAATCATAGAGATAAGGCTAAGTATTTGTGACACTCATATCTTGCTGTGTGTTTATCCGTTTGGAGCGTATTATATCTCGTTGGAAATATATATCGGAGATCTAAAGATATTGTTCCAACTTCATTTACAATGCATTAATTAAAAGTTACAGATTAACCATATATTCCCAAATGTTTCTGATTTCACTCTGAACTCGTGTAGAATGTGATACGATCATATCATGCTTTATTTTGTGCCGTTGATGATTGCCTAATTACTAACATACACTGTATTTACGCTAAATGTGCTCTATTTTCGCTAAAAACGCAAAATCATAGAGATAAGGCTAAGTATTTGTGACACTCATATCTTGCTGTGTGTTTATCCGTTTGGAGCGTATTATATCTCGTTCGAAAGATAGATTGGAGATCTAAAGCTATTTTTCCAACTTCATTTACAATGAATTAATTAAAAGTTACATATTAACCATATATTCACAAATGTTTTTTATTTCACTCCAAACTCGTGTAGAATGTGATGCGATCATATCATGCTCTATTTTGTGCCGTTGAAAGCGTTTAATATCTCGTTGGAAAGATCTTACCGAGTTCTAAAACTTGTCTTCCGGATCCGGTTTCAGAATATCAAGGGATGATTGCCTAATTACTAAAATACACTGTATTTACGCTAAAAGTGCTCTATTTTCGCTGAAAACGCTAAATCATAGAGATAAGGCTAAGTATTTGTGACACTCATATCTTGCTGTGTGTTTACCCGTTTGGAGCGTATTATATCTCGTTGGAAAGATAGATCGGAGCTCTAAAACTACTGTTCCAACTTCATTTACAATGCATTAGTTAAAAGTTACATATTAACCATATATTCACAAATGTTTCTGATTTCACCCCGAACTCGTGTAGAATTTGATGCGATCATATCTTTCTCTTTGTTGTGCCGTTGAAAGCGTTTAATATCTCGTTTGAAAGATCTTACCGAGTTATAAAACTTGTCTTCAGGCGCTGGTTTCAAAAAATCAAGGGATTATTGCCTAATTACTAAAATACACTGTATTTACGCTAAAAGTGCTCTATTTTAGCTGAAAACGCTAAATCATAGAGATAAGGATAAGTATTTGTGACACTCATATCCTGCCTTGTGTTTATCCGTTTGGGGCGTATTATATCTCATTGGAAAGATAGATCGGAGCTCTAAAGCTATTGTTCCAACTTCATTTACAATGCATTAATTAAAAGTTACAGATTAACCATATATAAACAAATGTTTCTGATTTCACTCCGAACTCGTGTAGAATTTGATGCGATCATATCTTGCTCTATTTTGTGCAGTTGAAAGCGTTTAATATCTCGTTGGAAAGATCTTACCGAGTTCTAAAACTTGTCTTCAGGCGCTGGTTTCAAAATAGCAAGGGATGAATGCCTAATTACTAAAATACACTGTATTTACGCTAAAAGTGCTCTATTTTCGCTGAAAACGCTAAATCATAGAGATAAGGCTAAGTATTCGTGACACTCATATCTTGCTGTGTGTTTATCCGTTTGGAGCGTATTATATCTCGTTGGAAAGATAGATCGGAGATCTAAATGAATTGTTCCAACTTGATTTACAATGCATTAATTAAAAGTTACAGATTAACCATATATTCCCAAATGTTTCTGATTTCACTCCGAACTCGTGTAGAATGTGATACGATCATATCATGCTCTATTTTGTGCCGTTGAAAGCGTTTAATATCTTGTTGGAAAGATCTTACTGAGTTTTAAAACTTGTCTTCAGGCTCTGGTTTCAGAATATCAAGGGATGATTGCCTAATTACTAAAATACACTGTATTTACGCTAAAAGTGCTCTATTTTCGCTGAAAACGCTAAATCATAGAGATAAGGCTAAGTATTTTCTAAAACTTTTCTTCAGGCGCTGGTTTCAATTTTTTTTTGGATGAAATGTAAGTATATATAAAAGACACCCAAAAGTAACATTTTACAATGTATCACACAAAGTCTGAGAAGACTATCTAAGTTAGATGGATCTAACCTAAATATAAAGCATCAACAACATAATGGGCATTCCCCACATCCACCTAAACAGAGGAATCAAAACACAAACAACCATACAAAAACAGTATCAATAAACCTATTTGAGCAGGCTCAGCTATCATCCTTTTCTTCATCTTCTTATATTTTGTAATTTTTTCCCAGTATTCGTCAAGAATTCTCTGTTCCTCCTCATCTTTCGGCTCATTATCGGATTCCTCATCTTCTGTGTCATCATCCTCCTCTGATTCGGGCACAACAGTCGTATTAGTCCCCTGGGCAACAGTCTCGGTCTCTGCAATCCCTTGGTCAGTGTGCAAACTAGCGCCCAAATTAGCGCTGGCAGGCCCCTGGGACAGTGACTGTCCAGTAGACCCGGTCGGGTCAGAGCAGCACCCGGTCGGGTGAGCAGCAACATCTGGAGGCTCCTGGGCAGCTGGCTGGGCAGCAGGTACAGCAATTTCCACAATTTCCACTTGAGAAACCTCATTCACAGTATCCTCCTTCTTATCAACAATAGCCAAGTCTCGTTCTTTTGATGCCAATTTTTTGCAAATGAAAGGGTGGTGCCCATACATTTTACAATGGAAACAGAAATTGGGGAAGGTTTCATAAACCACCATTTGATTGACTACTTTACGAGAAGGTAATCGTATAGGAAATGATAACCGGGGCGGTTTAGACACATCCACCTCAATTAGAACTCTAGCAAAATGATGATTGCTCCTATTTTGAGTGACCTTGTCCGTAGAAAGCGGGACCCCTACCATAGATGCAACCTCGCTCATAACCTCTTCATTCCATAGTTTCATATGTAGATTGGGAAATTTAACCCAAATGGGGACTTTAAGAAATTCATCATCATCGAAGGAGAAGTCCTCTGAAAGTGATTTTAGCAATAGTTGCATTCCAAAAATGGTATAGGGACCCCCATTCAACACTTTTTCTCTATCCCCATCATTTTGGAATTTGAAAATAATCCATCCCTTAGCATGTGTTTTGATTTGGCAACTAACACCCCAGGTATTCTTCAAATTATAAATGGCCTTAAGTCCGGGAAATTTTCCGGTAATATATCCAACAAGACAAAATCCCCACATCTCAATCATAGAGGGAAATATTCTATCACCAAAGTCTAAGGATTTGCCTTTCGGCGGAATATACCTCAATTTTAGGCCGTTTGAAGGGTCTCGGTTATCCTTGAAAAGGGATGACCATGCTTTCTCCTTTGGTGGTATTTCCAAATTGGCAGTAATAGCAACTATATCCGGCTCCTTTCTCCCCTTTCTGTCCCCTGCTTCTCCACTTGGCGTCAACCCAGGAGTAGCAGCAGTTTTGTTAACAGCAGTCCTTGTTTTTCCCAGAGTTTCGGTAAATTGTCCAAGTCGCCCAACTTCAGTAATAGGCTGCACTTCATCAGCTTGAAATCCCCCTGTAGCAGCTGAACCTCCTGCTTTAGCAACCCTCAATCCATCTTGATGGCCAGAACTAGGTTCAATCTGTGCATTCTCTGCCAATTGTTTTGGTGATAAAACAGTCTGTTCAGCCTTAGGAGGATCCTTCACAGTCGGTGTAGAAGTAGTCCCATTGGTCACCTCCTTTTCTGGAACAGAAATCACAGGTGATACAGCAGATGTATCAAGTGTTGCAGCACTAGTTTGTGACGCAGGAGATACAGCAGTTGCCGAACTCGCAGCCCTGTTCTTGTGGTCAATCCCCTGCTGCACCGAGGTATGAATTGGGGGAAACTCGTTCATATTCACCAAGTTCACAGAAGGTTTTTCCTTATTTAGGATTGGGAATTCAACATCAATATCTCCCAACACATTAAATCTCGAAGAAGCTCGAGTAGTTCGCATCCTGGTGTTTCCCCCCATTTCTCGATTATTTTTCCGCATTTCCGATTTTCAGACCTAAAAAACGAGAGTGCAGAAAAACAAAATCCAGGTACCCTAGGTCGTTCGGATAGACCAGTAATCGACAACTATATCAACTAATTTACTGAAACCCAAATCTAAACTGAAAAAACCTGCGAATGAAATCCTGTGAACAGTAACCTTCGCGCATAGATTCCAATTATCGCTCGGCACCTCCTAAAATGAATTCGCAAATCAGTATTCCAATGACCAAGTCGAGGTCGGAAAGGCCCAAAGGTTTTAACTTCCTCCAACGAACTCCAAGAACCAAGCTCAATCGAAAAATCTGGGTTGGCCATCCTGATGCGTGAGTCTGGAACGGTGTTTCCAGAGAGAGACGCTCTCAACACGCATTTTTCCTTCAGTCAGGCGCTGGTTTCAAAATATCAAGGGATGATTTCCTATTTACTAAAGTACACTGTATTTACGCCAATGATTTGTGACACTCATATCTTGCTGAGTGTTTATCCGTTTGGAGCGTATTATATCTCGTTGGAAAGATAGATTGGAACTCTAAATCTATTATTCCAACTTCATTTACAATGCATTAATTAAAAGTTACAGATGAACCATATATTCACAAATGTTTCTGATTTCACTCCGAGATCATATCTTGCTCTATTTTGTGCCGTTGAAAGCGTTTAATACCTCGTTGGAAAGATCTTACCGAGTTCTAAAACATTTCTTCAGGAGCTAGTTTCAAAATATAAAGGGATAATTGCCTAATTACTAAAATACACTGTATTTACGCTAAAAGTGCTCTATTTTCGCTGAAAACGCTAAATCTTAGAGATAAGGCTAAGTGTTTGTGACACTCATATCTTACTGTGTGTTTATACGTTTGGGGCGTATTATATCTCGTTGGAAAGATAGATCGGAGTTCTAAAGCTCTTGTTCCAACTTCATTTACAATGCATTAATTAAAAGTTACAGATGAAGCATATATTCACAAATGTTTCTGAGTTCACTCCGCACTCGTGTAGAATTTGATGCGATCATATCTTGCTCTATTTTGTGCCGTTGAAAGCGTTTAATATCTCGTTGGAAAATTCTTACCGAGTTCTAAAACGTTTATTCAGGCAGTAGTTTAAATATATCAAGGTATTATTGCCTAATTAATAAAATACACTGCATTTACGTTAAAAGTGCTCTATTTTCGCTGAAAACGCAAAATTATAGAGATAAGGCTAAGTATTTGTGACACTCATATCTTGCTGTGTGTTTATCCGTTTGGAGCATATTTTATCTCGTTGGAAAGATAGATCGGAGGTCTAAAGCTATTGTTCCAACTTCATTTACAATGCATTCATTAAAAGTTACAGATTAACCATATATTCACAAATGTTTCGGATTTCACTCTGAACTCGTGTAGAAGTGATGTGATCATATCTTGCTCTATTTTGTGTCATTGAAAGCGTTTAATATCTCGTTGGAAAGATCTTAACGAGTTCTAAAACTTGTCTTCAGGCGCTGGTTTCAAAATATAAAGGGATGATTGCCTAAATACTAAAATACACTGTATTTACGCTAAAAGTGCTCTATTTTCGCTGAAAACGCTAAATCTTAGAGATAAGGCTAAGTATTTGTGACACTCATATCTTGTTGTGTGTTTATCCGTTTGGAGCGTATTATATCTCGTTGGAAAGATAGATCGGAGCTCTAAAGCTATTGTTCCAACTTCATTTACAATGCATTAATTAAAAGTTACAGATTAACCATATATTCACAAATGTTTCTGATTTCACTCCGAACTCGTGTAGAATTTGATGCGATCATATCTTGCTCTATTTTGTGTCGTTGAAAGCATTTAGTATCTCGTTGGAAAGATCTTAATGAGTTCTAAAACTTGTCTTCAGGCGCTGGTTTCAAAATATCAAGGGATGATTAGCTGATTACTAAAATACACTCTATATACGCTAAAAGTGCACTATTTTCGCTGAAAACGCTAAATCATAGAGATAAGGCTAAGTATTTGTGACACTCATATCTTGCTGTGCGTTTAACCGTTTGGATCATATTATATCTCGTTGGAAAGATAGACCGGAGCTAATAATAATAATTATAATAATAATAATAATAATAATAATAATAATAATAATAATAATCATAATCATAATCATAATCATAATAATAATAATAATAATAATAATAATAATAATAATAATAATAGTAGTAGTAGTAGTAGTAGTAGTAGTAGTAATAATAATAATAATAATAATAATAATAATAACAATAATAATAATAATAATTATTATTATTACAATAATAATTATAATAATAATAATAGTGATAATAATAATAATAATAATAATAATAATAATAATAATAAGGCAATCATCCCTTGATATTTTGAAACCAGCGCGTGAAGACATTTTTTAGAACTCGGTAATATCTCTCCAATGAGATATTAAACGCTTTCAACTGCACAAAATAGAGCAAGATATGATCGCATCAAATTCTACACCAGTTCAGAGTGAAATCAAAAACATTTGTCAATATATGGTTAATCTGTAACTTTTAATTAATGCATTGTAGCTGAAGTTGGAACAATAGCTTTAGAGCTCCGATCTATCTTTCCAACGAGATATATTACGCTCCAAACAGATAAACACACAGCAAGATATGAGTGTCACAAATACTTAGCCTTATCTCTATGATTTAGCGTTTTCAGCGAAAATAGAGCACTTTTAGCGTAAATACAGTATATTTTTGTAATTTGGCAATTATCCCTTGATATTTTGAAACCAGCGCCTGAAGACAAGTTTTAGAACTCGGTAAGATGTTTTTAACGAGATATAAAACGCTTTCAACGGCACAAAATAGAGCAAGATATGATCGCATCAAATTCTACACGAGTTCGAGTGAAATCAGGAAAATTTGTGAATATATGGTTAATCTGTAACTTTTAATTAATGCATTGTAAATGAAGTTGGAACAATATCTTTAGAGCTCCGATATATATTTCCAACGAGATATAATACGCTCCAAACGGATAAACACACAGCAAGATTTGAGTGTCACAAATACTTAGCCTTATCTCTATACTTTAGCGTTTTCAGCGAAAAAAGAACACTTTTAGCGTAAATACATTGTATTTGAGTAATTTGGATATCATCCCTTGATATTTTGAAACTAGAGCCTGAAGACAAGTTTTAGAACTCGGTAAGATGTTTCCAACGAGATATAAAACGCTTTGAACGGCACAAAATAGAGCAAGATATAATCGCATCAAATTCTACACGAGTTCAGAGTGAAATCAGAAACATGTGTGAATATATGGTTAATCTGTAACTTTTAATTAATGCATTGTAAATGAAGTTGGAACAATAGCTTTAGAGCTCCGATCTATCTTTCCAACGAGATATAATACGCTCCAAACGGATAAACACACAGCAAGATATGAGTGTCACAAATACTTAGCCTTATCTCTATGATTTAGCGTTTTCAGCGAAAATAGAGCACTTTTAGCGTAAATACAGTGTATTTCAGTAATTAAGCAATAATCACTTGATTTTTTGAAACCATCGCCTGAAGATAAGTTTTAGAACTCGGTAAGATCTTTCAAACGAGATATTAAACACTTTCAACGGCACAACAAAGACCAAGATATGATCGCATCAAATTCTACACGAGTTCGGAGTGAAATCAGAAACATTTGTGAATATATGGTTAATATGTAACTTTTAACTAATGCATTGTAAATGAAGTTGGAACAATAGTTTTAGATCTCCGATCGATCTTTCCAACGAGATAGAATACGCTCCAAACGGATAAACCCACAACAAGATATGAGTGTCACAAATACTTAGCCAAATCTCTATGATTTAGCGTTTTCAGCGAAAATAGAGCACTTTTAGCGTAAATACAGTGTATTTTAGTAATCAGGCAATCATCCCTTGATATTTTGAAACCAGCGCCTGAAGACAAGTTTTAGAACTCGGTAAGATCTTTCCAACGATTTATTAAACGCTTTCAACGGCACAAAATAGAGTATGATATGATCGCATCAAATTCGACACGAGTTCGGAGTGAAATCAGAAACATTTGTGAATATATGGTTAATCTGTAACTTTTAATTAATGCATTGTATATGAAGTTGGAACAACAGATTTAGAGTTCCGATCTATCTTTCCATTGAGATATAATACGCTCCAACCGGATAAACACACAACAAGATATGAGTTTCACAAATACTTAGCCTTATCTCTATGATTTAGCGTTTTCAGCGAAATTAGAGCAGCTTTAGCGAAAATACAGTGTATTTTAGTAATTAGGCAATCATCCCTTGATATTTTGAAACCAGCGCCTGTTGAAAAAACCAGCGCCTGATTGATAGGAAAAGTTGAGAGATTCTCTCTCCTGGGATTTTCGCCCCAGCTCTTTTCCGTCAATGGATTTCACGTTTTGGTTCGTTTCTTGATTTGTTTTATCTTCTACCAGTGTTTAAGTTGGAATACTGTTCTTCGTTGTTGGATTTGAGATCAAAAACTTGTTTTATGGTCAAAAACCCAACAATCGACGATGTCTGGATGTGCGGCTACTGTTCATAATCGCGATTTGGAACTGACCTAGATTAGCTCGTTTCTTGGGTTCTTTGTGTTCGAAATACTTTCTGAGTTTCATCCCGAGCTCGGATTTGTACTGCAAAGTCCTCACGAAATCAGTCTTTGTATCAGATTCTTGATTTGGGTTTTCTCTGAAGTTTCGAATTACTAGACTTGGTTGGTCCTGTATATTTTTCTACAGTGTTTTAAACCTGTAAACGATGCACAAAAAAAAGGCAGGGAAGGGGGAAGCTACGCACAGGCTCACCAGGTCGAAGGCAGTAGGTTTTGAGATTTTGAATCACCTTGAAGAGGATTTCCCGGAGCTGGCAGACTCAGTGAAGAAACCTGCGCGTAGTGCAGGTCGTTGCTCTGAAAATTCGAACTCTGCTGCTACTATTCTTGCAGCTGGGCAGTGTCTTTCTGCTTCTGAGCTGCAAGCTGCTTCTAAAATTGGGGATCCGCTGATGTGTTCTGGGAAGCCAGGGATGGAAACTATAATTGATGCTGCAGCAAAAAATACTGCTAAGGAAATCAGTCCCTTGACAGTAACTACTGAAACAATTGTTAAGAAGGTTCCAATACCTTCTGCTGCTATACAAAATGGAGGGACTGTTGTGAAAGGAAAGGCTGTTCGAGAACCAAATCCTTGGACCACTTTGTTTAAGGATAATCGTGATCCGAGCCACGGGTTTAAGCTAAGATATGTCCCTCCTAGAGGTGGCACCTTGGATTTTGGAGACCGAGTTTTACCGACTATGGTTGAAATGTGGGGTTTTTGCTTAGTTGGACACTTCACC